GTGCTGCCATCTAGCCAGGTGTCACATATTGATTTGTCTTCCTGAGGTGTAGCACCCACAAAATGGTTTCATGTATAGTTAAGATTGAATTTTACAAATAAAATAACTGATACTGCTGTCATTCTTCGAGCCAGGATTATTACAATGCACACATAGAGATGTACCAAAACATTTCTCAGGGCTTGGGAGTACCATGCTCCATTCTGGTCTAAACAAGAAGAGATATAAAAGAAAGATGGGAAGGGTCCAAGTTTGCATGAACCCTCTTTTTCTGATCACATGAAGTTGGATCTGGAGAACAACTGTACAGTATATGCCTGTTTTTAGTTGTTTTGGGGGGAGGGGGCAAGTTCTTTAAAACATTGACTGTTATGCTAAGCAACTTTTTAACAGATAAGTTCATGGAAGTATAGATATGTAAAGCTGGAAGAGACCTCCAAAGGTCATCTAGTCCTATTTCCTGCCTGAGACAGGATCATTCCTATCCAAACCTATGCCTCACTACCTTTTTAAAGTTTGTTTATAAGTGACTCTTAGTTATTGTCCCTGGAGCATTCAGATCTTTGAAAGTATGTGAAAGTGTCATTGCATGGAACTTTAAAATATCAAATTTCAGAGTTTGTGAAGATGAGAGAGTGGAGCCAATTCATTTGCTGATCTAAATAAAATATTCTCCTCTGTTAACAGATTCTTGAGAAATGACTTGTGTACTAATTAACAAAGAGCCGGATTTTATTTTTATTTTTGCCAGAATGGTTTTCCACTCAGAAAATGTAGTTGAATTCAAATATTTGTTTCTAATGACTCTGCCTTGAAGAACCATGGGTGTGTGATGTGTGGGCAAAATATATGCATCTTACTTTATTTGTAGCAATTGAAAAACATAATTGCATAACTGCTCAAGGGCTTCTACTAGATATTAGCATTCTGTAAATTGTACTAGCTCATTCTTATGTCAACCCTCAATTGGTATAGAAAGCATTAATATAGGGTTCAGTCCAGTCTGAATCTGAGACACATGGTACTGGGTTGTGTGCATTCTGGTTCTGTCAGCATGTGCCTTTGTAAATCATTAAATTAGTGCCAGCTTTAAATTATGATGTAGAGGAGTTTTGCATGTTACATTGGCTAATTTCACCTGGACTAGATCCTCTGCTAGGCAGTTATCTGGTGACAAAGGACATAGGATGAAAACAGTGCCAGCAGAAGCCTGAATAGGATGACCCAACATAAATGTTAACTAATTTGGGGGACTCTTACACTGTTTGGAATCCTTTACCCATGATTGTCATGAGCCCCATTGGCCACCTCCTATTTTTCAGGAAAAATAGCTATTCAGCTATTTTTGGGCTAGCTGTTCAGCACTGGTGAGGCTACATCTGGACCACTGTGTCCAATTTTGGGCCCCCCATTACAGAAAGGACATGGACAAATTGGAGAGCCCAGTAAAGGGCAACAAAAATGGTTAGAGGGCTGGGGAGCATGACTGGGAAGATGCTGAAGGAACTGAGCTTATTTAGTCTGGAGAAGAGAAGATGGGAGGGAGGTTTAATTACAGCCTTCAACTACCTAGACTGTTCTCAATGGTGTCAGATGGCAGAACAAGAAGCAATGGTTTCAAGTTGCAGTAAGGGAAGGTAAAATTAGATATTAGGAAAAACTTTCTGACTAGGAGGCTAGTAAAACACTGGAACAGGCTATCCATAGAGGTTGTGGAGTCTCCATTCTTAGAAGTTTTAAAGGCCCGGGCAGACAAAGCCTTGGCTGGTATGATACTGTATAGATTGTTGGGGATGGTCCTGCTTTGATCAGGGAGCTGGACATGAAGTCCCTTTTAACCCTAATTTGCTATGATTGTAAGCTTTCATCTCTAGTAGTAGGTGTGAAATTATAAATTGATAAAAGCCAGTTCTCACAAAAGAAAGCTCACAGTTGTAGGCTGTGGTTGTCTTTTTTTTTTCTTTTCTTTTATATGATCAGTCTTCAAATGTGAGCCCCTTTAGCCATGGCCCAAAGGGCCCAAGATCAGATGGCATTAGAAATTCTTTCTGTGTCCACAGAGAATCATTTTGTGTGTGTTGTCCTAATACTTCGTGAACTTGGAGTAGATAAAGACATTGCCTTTCATTGCCTTTGTGTTGTCACAAAATATTTCATGGTGAGACGAAGTGACAGTGAATAGATGTCAGTATCTTTTGTTACACCACAATGTGGCTATGACAAAAGGTAGTAATTAATTGAGCTGCTTTACAGTAATAAGATAAAGGCAGCCCAGAGCTGCCCTCATTCTCTTGCAGCCCTGGGTAAGTGCTCCCTGGGCTTGAGAGGCTTAGTCCTGCACACCACAGAAATTCCTACACAGGATCAGGCCCTTCAAGCCCAGGGAGCACCTGCCCAGCTTTCCCTGCTTGTGATACATGTCCACTGACTGATCGGTGGCTCCAGGTCACCAAGTGGCCTCCAGCTGAAGTGTCCCATCTTTCCCTGCTTCTAGAAAGAAGTTCACGTGCTTTGCAGGAACTTTGGGGATTGTTGGGGGCACATCTCTGCAAGCAGGAATCATGTTGTCCATTGTCCTGCCAGATCAATGGGTGGGGATAACGGGCAATATGTGTTCTCCCTGATGAAGCAGATCAACCATGCCAGGATGTATCAAGGATACATCCTAGCATGACTGTTCTGCTTTATTGGGCGATATCTATTTCTAGCCCCACTGAGAGAAGAGCTGAGAGACTGTAGCTGAATTTTCTTAGCAAGGTATTGGTGACAGAAATATTTATGAAGTTTAAAGCTTTTAAAGAACTTTGCAGAACAAAATGTCTTTGTCTCCCCTCCTTCTTCTGTGTGGCAAATTATTTCAACAAAAATTGCATGAGGCCTTGATTTTTGTCAGCAATTGAACTAAAATGCTATCTATGGCTGAGAGAATTGAATATGCTAGCGTGTGCTTCTGTTCTGCTGAAACACAAATCACAGTTGTGTTCCCTTCCCTTTTTAATATTCTAAATCTAGTTGGAGACCAGGCAATCCTAAATTCTTTCCCCATTTTGTTTTTAACAAGAAGCCTTGCAATGTTGTTAAGAAGGACATTTGTAACATGTTTGAACAGTCAATGTAGCATATGATCATGGGATAATATGATTCATGTATGTATGCTAGTAATTAGACCATGCAAGAAGCTGGGATTTGAGGTGGCTGAGGGATTTGTATTTTATTTTTTTTTAAAGATGTAAGGTCTTTCAATTTCAGTTGAATTATAATTTTTAGTGTCCAGCTTCTGGTTAACATTGCATTCTTCCTGTAATTCTCCCAAAATACAACATGCTTTGCATAACTGTTAGCAGTACCACCTGCTGAGTAGAGCGAACCAGAAAATGACCTTGGCAGTAATACAGAAAAGACAAATTGGCAGAGAATGTTTTGGGGACTGAGAAACCTTCTGGGGCATGGCAAAGGTCAGGAGAGCATATTGTTCTCTTCACATAAGGCAAAAGAGGTTTAATTTATTGTTGTGCTGAAAAAATGATGCTGTTGTCAAGATTAAACTTGTTAACACTGTAGGTGTTTTTGATCTTATCCAAAGCCCAATTTCTTCTTGTATTAAGACATTCTTACATTGTTTTCTAAACTAATAGTAATTCAGGTATTTGTAGTTCTTATGTACTTTGTTACCGCTTGTGTCTTTAAAGGCATAACAAATTAAGGTACCCATTTGAGAAGAAATGAAGAATGAAATGTATATATGTGATACAGCTAAGAGCTGTTAATGCCATTGGAATGCTTCATTTGTATATTTCCTGATTTTTTTTTCCTGACTTTTTAAGTAATGCTGCCAGCTGAACTCTCACTTCCTCTCTCCCTAGAGATAGGTTAGTTCTACCTAAGAGTACTGGCTAACTCAAAGTGAAGCTTCAAAGCATGTAATTGATTTGTTCTGTAATACACAGAGGATGGGAAAGGAGGAAGAGCTTGACAGATGATTATATGCAGGGCTGTCTCCTTTTTGTGAATGGCTTTGGCACCTTGTTGGGAGTTTAGACAGGATTCTTGATGTGAAATGAGAGGAACAGAACAAGAAGGAATTGGGAGTCATGGGACATGTTTCTGGGGTACTTAACTGTAAGGAACTTGCATTCTCTGAAATATGTAGAACCATCTGTATAATTCCTCCCTGTGTTTCTTGGGGGTCATAGAGAGATGTTTATAAACCGTTATGAGAACGTGCCCCATGAGCACTTTGGCTAAGGCCTAAGGGTTCTTATGCAAACTGCTGTTCCTGTTTGTGCCACTGCTAGCTGACAAGGCTTTGTATTCACTGAAGCCCTTTTTTGGCTGACTCACAAACATTTAATCACAAAATATTCTCTTCTAATCTCTCTCCCACTTTAAAATGTTGGTTCTCTAAACATTTTTGGTAGATGTCTTGTTGGGTGACCTTTTGCTTTTCCTGCTTGACAGTTATAGAAACAGTTATCTGTACTGTTCTAATATCAATATATTTGGCCACAAACAACTTCCATTGCTTTAAAGGGTTGTTTTCCATGTAAATAATTACTGAAGATGCCTCCAATGGAATATTTTATCCCAGTAGAATGAATAAGCTAATCTTTTAAAGTTTCCCATTGCTGTTAAAATAATAGGAAACTGTATATAAAACTATGGAAATTGTTTGGATGAAATAGTTACTCATGTGAATTTTAATGAATGATTTAACTGTACCCAGTATTTCTCTATTTTATTTTTTGAATTAAAAAGCTGATCTTTCATTGCTTACATGTTGTCTTAACGACCTTTTTGATCTCAATGAGAATTTCAGATGTCGAAAGAAAAATGAATTCACTTAAGTGGAAAAATGGTCTGAAGTTGTATGATAGAAAAGCATTTTTGATCAGTATAAAGGTGTGGAGGGGGGGGAAGAGGAGCATAGTACAGGACTGGAATTAGATCAACTCTATAGCATTAACTTGGCACATTGTTAAGCATTTTGTTTCTTGTTACAGATTTCTACTGGTGCTGATTTGTTTGATTTTTAGTGTGCTGTCTACTATAGAACATTATTCAGAATTTGCCACTGGGACCCTTTTCTGGATGGTAAGTGAACTATTTTATTTTATTTTAAAAATGTATTGATAACATCATTGAGGTTGAACACACCAGTTCATTTCATTTGTGGAAAACTAATAGAATGTACAAGCTTACTTTGCTTTTCAGTGAATCTACTCAAAATCTCCTAGGTCAGAGGTTCTCAAACTGTGGTCTGCGGACCACCACTGGTCCATGAGCTCCATTCAGGTGGTCCGCAGAAAGGTTGTGGAACAATTGAGAATATCTATACTTGTAAGGTAAGACAACTGATGTTAAAATATGAGTTGCGTGCTTTCATTTGTAGAACAAAAAAAGTTTATTAAGTGGTCAGCTGAGACCCTCAGCAATTTTCAAGTGGTCTGCAAAAAAAAGTTTGAGAACCACTGTCCTACATTTATAAAGGAGTGTATTTATTTATTTACTTTTCCTCCTGAAGGTCAGGAGGAGCTGTGACGATCCTCTCTTGACTTGCTTGATATAAGATGCAAAGTCTCACTGAATAATTCCTACAATGAACTCTTAATGTTTGCCTGAGCTAAAGCATATCAGTGAATGCAATACTGAATGGAGAAGCAGGGCTTTTTTGGTGATATCTTTTATTAGATCCACTGTATAGTTGGAAAACATGTAAAATGAACTTTCAAGCAGAAAGTGCCCTTCTTTAGGTTCTTTTGGTAGAATGGAGTATCCTAACTCCAGAAAAACAGTTCATGTGTGTGTGTTGTTAAACCTGAGTGCAAATTGGCAGTGGATTACTTTATCTTATTTTAAGGACATGTTTGCTTGCATCTTGGGCTTTTCTTAAGAAGCATTTTTTTTTCTTTTTGTAATAAATAAATAAATAAAGTCATACTCACTTCTTATCAGCCAAGTCCTTGCTTTCACTTTTGAGATTGCTACTGGGTGATTGGATGACTAGTGCTTGCTATGAGGGCAATATTTGTCTACTTGGAATTGAACTGAAGTTGCTAACTCCTCTCACAGTGTCCATTTAACAACCATCATCAGATGGTAACAAAGTTCATTTACTATTAGGGTGACCATAATTCCTAGATTAGCTGGGACAGTCCTGGATTTTGGAGACTGGTCCTGGCTGGCCAGTGAAAATTAAAATGTGTCCCAGGCATAGGCCATGGGGCAGGGAAGTGGAGTGGCAGGAACTGTGAAATAGGAAGACCTATCAGACAGCAGAATTGCCCTAATAGGTTAACTTGGTTGGTGGAATGACCATAAAAAAGAGGATTGTTAACACATTTGAAGAAAACAATGGGTCATTAACGGGCCATTGACTCCTTAGCTGCCTGAATACCAGTAGTGCCCCACCTCTGCCTCTGCCTGCAGAATCAGGGTAGGGGAGAGGCAGTGTCCCAGATTTCACATTGTCCTATATGGTCACCCTATTTATTACCAGCATTGGTCTAGATTTTAATGGCCAAGAGTTTCTGTAGCCTGTTACCAGTTCATATGGCATGCGATCTACTTTAGGGCTCTAAAATCAAAGGTGACTAGCATGCACACAATTGCCCACCCAAACCAATTTGCAAGGTTTTTTTTTTTAAATAGTTTTATTTTGAAGCGGTGGGAAATATCGTGGCTAAAAGTGGGTGTAAGGATTCAAGAAAAGGTCCTTTTTCACATGCCCTAAATAAAAGTAACAATAAAAACGGAGTGGGACTATTACTGAAAAAGTTTTTACTCCATTAGTGTGCACTGCACTACAATAGGCCCGTGCGAGTAGGCACCTATTCGATCTGGCTTTGGATCTGGCTGCTTTGGATGCCAGGGATCCGATCTGGAGCTCTGGCTTGGGTTCCCGCTTTGATCTGGCCGAAGCAGCTCCCAAGATCTGGCCATAGGGTATAATGGGGAATCAATGAAATATCTATAACTTTGTTGTCTTTTGTCTTGTTTGGATGAAACTTGCAGGGGTGGTAGCCTCTGCTGAGAGCCTGAAGCCTGCCAAGCTTCAAGAAGATGGGTGTAGGAGTTCAGGGGGAACTGCAACCCAAATTCTTGAAAGCAAAACTCATGTCATGTGTATGTGTTAAGCCACAGTTGGGTGAAAACTGCAGGGGTGGTAGCACCTGGTGAGGCCCCAAAGCTTGCCAAGTTTCAAGAAGATAGGTGCAGGGGCTTGGGGGGAACTGCACCTCAAGCTACTGACAGGCTAAACTTGTGGCATAGATGACCCTGTGTGTGTGTTAAGGTGCAGCGGACTGAAAACGGCAGGGGTGGTGGCTCCTGCTCAGGCCACAAAGCCTGCCAAGTTTCAAGGAGATAAGTGCAGGGGTTTGGGGGGAACTGCACCTCAAGCTGCAGACAAGCAAAACTTGTGACATGGGTGCTTGTGCAACTGACTGTCTCTGTCTTGGGGCAGTTGTTTGTCTGCATTGATTATTTCCTCTCCTTAGTCTGTGGTTTTGTAAGTGTTGCTTGTTAACTCATTAACACCTAGCAGCTAGGGGTGCAGGGTCCCAGAACCCAGAAGCCCTGCACCTACCTCCTTGACAGCTGGCAGGCATCATGGCCGCAGCAGGGGCTAGCAGGCCTGCAGCTTTCACCCTGATGCCCCCAGTCTCACCCATGTCACAAGTTTTGCTTGTCTGCAGCTTGAGGTGCAGTTCCCCCCAAACCCCTGCACTTATCTCCTTGAAACTTGGCAGATTTTGTAGCCTCACCAGGTGCTACCACCCCTTCAGTTTTCACCCCACTGTGGTGTAACACATACATGTGACATGCATTTTGCTTTCAACAATTTGGGGTGCAGTTCCCCCCAAGCCCCTGCACCGACCTTCTTGAAACTTGTCAAGCTTCATGCTCACAGCAGAGGCTACCACCTCTGCATGTTTCATCCAAATCAGACAAAAAACAACCAAGCTATAGATATTTCATTGATTCCCCATTGTACCCTATGGCCGGATCTCCAAGGTGGCTCTGAAGCTTTTCTGAAGCGGTTTGGAAGCTCTTAACTGCTTCGGAAAGCCTAATGAAGCCAGCGCTTTGATCTGGACATGCTGCTTTGGATGCCAAAGCATCCGACGCTTCTCCAGGTCCGAAGCCTTGCACAGCGCTACACTACAATAATACCTAGCTCAAAACATACAGAATGTAGCAACTCTGATCTTTTGAGGAAAATTGTATTGCATATCACAACAGTTGAATTTTGATTTAAATTTGTTTCAATGGCTGTTTCCCAATGTGTATTTTTGGGATAAAAGCTTAGGTACTCATTTAATTCATGGTAGCCTAAATTGCATTAGTATATGTAGCCTCTGCATGTGATAGACTAAAACCATCATTAGGATCCCTGGGTTATTTTTAAGCATGTGACTAATCATATTTTAAGCATTTCACTAATCATCTAGTGAATATTGCTTGGTCTTGCTCAGTGTCAAATAAAAAGCATTTTCTATCAGTCCAGTGCAAACCTCTTATCCTCCTATAATAGTAAGCTATGGTGAGTCGAATCTTAAAGCAGTGATACAGAAAGGGTTCAAAATTAGTTTTTGTTCTCATGCTGTGTATTGGCTATCTTCTGAAGACTAGTGCTTATGGAATTTGGCATGATTTAAAGTCCTATATTTGTCAATGGACATGGGTATTGCATCAGTAGTGACAGTACTGGAACATGCTCTGCCATTACAACAGTGTTAGAATCATAGGTAGGTTAGAAGAGACATCAGGAGAACATCTAGTCTAGGCCCCTGGTCATGGCAGGATCATCTCTGACTATCCCAGTTATTTATCTGTCTAGCTTGCTCTTTAAAGGCATCCAAGAATGGATATTCCACCATCCTACTAGGCAACTTCATCTAATGCTTAACCACCCTCATAGTGAGAGAGTTTTTCCTAATATCCAACCTAAACTCCTAATATCCTTCAAGGAGGAATATTCTGCACTGGTCCAGTCCTGCAGGGAGCAAACCAGGAAAGCCAAGGCTGCAACTGAACTCCAGCTAGCTTCAAGTATCAAGGACAATAAAAAGTCTTTTTTCAGATATGTGGGGAGCCAGAGGAAAAGCAAGGGCAACATTGGACCCCTGCTAAACCAGATGGGACAACTGACAACCGATGCCAAGGGAAAAAGCAATCTATTAAATGGGTACTTTGCATTGGACTTTCATCAGTCCCATGGGACGCCCGTGCTCACTATGGGACAGGGAGGTCTGGGTGAGGGAGATCCCTGGCCCTCCATCAATGCTGACCTTGTGAAGGAACACCTTGAGAGGCTGGATACCTTCAAGTCAGCTGGTCCTGACAATCTACACTCGAGGGTACTCAAGGAGCTGGCATCATAGCTCAGCCCCTGGCATGGATCTTTGAGAATTCCTGGTGCTCTGGTGTAGTGCCTGAAGACTAGAAGAAGGCCAATGTGGTGCCTATCTTTAAGAAAGGGAGGAAAGTGGATCCAGAAAGTGGATCCAGCAAACTACAGGCCCATCAGCCTGACCTCTATCCCTGGGAAGGTCTTAGAAAAGTTTATTAAAAAGGCCATCCTTAATGGACTGGCCAACGCCAGCATCCTGAGGGATAGCGAGCATGGGTTTGTTGCAGGTAGGTTGTGCTTGACCAATCTCATTTCCTTTTACGACCAGGTGACCTATCACCTGGACAAGGGAGAAGAGATTGATGTCATATATCTTGACTTCAAAAAAAGCCTTCGATCTGGTATCCCATGATCACCTCTTGGCAAAACTGGCCAACTG